GTTTGCCTCTGTTTTCAGAAGAAAATTTATTTTAAACTATCTGAGTGGTGGCTAACCCTGGTTGTGGTTGAAGAAGAAAATGAGAGATTGTTCAACATTAACGTGTTATTACATTTTTGACTATTGATCCTCTTCATAAGTCTTTAAATGGAAATATTGAAAAAACTTATCAATTATTGGGAAATGAGCAAGCTGATCGAGAGGTGAAGTATACTGCTTCTGCTTTTCTAAATATGGTTGATGTCATGGGAAAGTTGTATTTTTAGAGATACTTTGGAAGAAAAATTAAAGAGAAAATTACAGAAGGAAATCTACAATACCATCCTAGCGCACAATTACCGCTCACCGCTCGCTGGATTTTAAAAAAGTCTTTCTCCCCAATCTGCAATTCTCACTATAAAGCACATTCTCTTTGATTGCCTTAACTTTTCTTTGGCTAGAAGCATTGCATTTGGAGCGATTAACCCTATGGACATTCTATAATCAGCTAAAGAACAGAATATCAATCCAATATATTACTTTATTAGACTCAATATCTGATGTACTTTTACGAATTAGAACCGAGGGCCTCTATTGCTAGTGTTCAATGTCTTTTTCTTTTAGTCTAAGAGTTTATTTCATTAGTCTAAAATTATATTAATAATAATAATAATATCCTAAAGAGTTTAGCTTCTATATACCAGTAGAACAAGTATAATATTTTATGAATTTCCCCAACTATCTTCACACTTAAGTCACTCGGGTATTTCCTTGTCAGTCTTTTTTAATGTTTTATTTTATTTTTAGATTTATAAAATATTTTCTCATTTTTAAGAATTTCATAAAAATTTTACATTTTTTATACACAATAAAAAAAAATTGCAGTAAAAATGAAGAATTTATGACGGACTCGAATAGTTCTATAAAAATTTTCCTAAAATGGTTAGTTATTACAACTTGACGGTTATTACAGGTAGAAACCAAATAGTTTATGGAAATGTGTCGTAAAATTGTATATAAATTTTGTTATTTACAAAATGCGGTTTCTTTAAAGGGGTTTTTATCGGAAATAGTATTCAGATTAAAAGTGATTATAAAAATTAATTACCGGTTAATTAGTATAAAACAAATTGAATTTCATGCCCTTAGTTACATATATATTATCTAATAAACCATTAACTTATTGAGTAATGCTCACCTTTGCATGGGCAAGCTCTAAAAAAGGACTTCAAGACTTCCTTAAAAAAATTAAATTTAATGACACAGACAAATAAATACCTTAAAGCTCTCAAAACGGTTCCTAACTGAGCTAAATTAATTATCGTCAAAGCACGAACGCATTTTCTTTGCACTCATTGCCCGTCTGTCTATCTGTCTGTTAATTGTTGTCATGAACGTACTCATTGTCGCAAAAATGAACACATTTGCAGCAGACACACGATATAAATTTTCATGTTTATCCTACAAAAGCAGATAAAATCAACCGCGCCCATCCGACATTATGAAATATGAAAATTTACTTTTCACCTTTCTATGAGTCTTTTTCAAAATAACGACGATGTTTGTAAAAGATCCTATCGTGGACCAATATAGAGTTCGTACTTGTTATATATTTAAACAGTCTTTATTAGACAAACGAATCACAGAGGGATGCGGGTATGTTTTTACCCGACGCCAAAGAGTATATGTATATTCAAGCTGGCATTGCAACGTAAAATGGAAACTCTTTGTTTTGAAAAGTAGAAGACATCTTTGCAGCAACAAATATTTGCATATTCCGTTTTAAGATAAAAGTGATGGGTGGGAAGGAGTAGCCGAAAAAACTTTTCTTCATTTCTCTAATAAAATGGTTATGTCTCACTGTAAAACTTGTAGGATTTCAGGGCAAAAAACAAAACCAGGTAGGTTTGACAAACCTCTTTTTATGTCAGCTTTCTTCCATTACGAAATTTCTGCAGGGAGTAAGACAAATGTTACCGGTTCTTAGTAAGTTAACCAAAGGGGACTTGTATTTCAAAATCTATACTTAAGACCGCTTGCGTACTTTGGACAATTTTAGTTAACATTTTGATCATGTTACTATATGATGGCTTTCATCGAAATTATGCATTTACTTAAAAATAATGTATAATTTTTGCTGTGTTATTAAGAAAAGGATCGCTAGTTTCTTCTGTATTAGGTGAAATGATGTAAGGGATCTCAAGATCGACCTTGCCCAACTACAGCATTCTAACTTATTTTGTGTACGAAGAAGTGTCTTAAAGATATGCACTCAGCTTGGTACGCCTTTATATTAGCTACTGCTTCTTATTCTTAAAATTCTCAATCTTTTTATTTCAAATTAAAAATTAATCTAATAAATGAGGTTTACATCCGAGAAGCTATAATGCGATAAACTGCTAAAAAATAACTAATAATTTTTAGCAACGGGAAAAATAAAAACTAAAACTCACCTAATGCTAATGATTGTCATGTCAATGAAATTATTACAAAATGCAAAAATTAACATAACATGAGAGAAAAAAAAATTGAAAAAAAAAATGTTAAAAAAAAAACTAAATTGTTTATAATGAAAGCTTTCATATGTCAAGTTGTAAAATTCCCATTATTAGAAAGTATCTTTAATATAGATGCAAGCATAGTAAAGTGATAGTTGTTGTAGAAGCGTCCGCCATTGGATTAACATCACAGCAGGCATACTCAACATCTATTGTGATATGACGATTCTAGACTCGATAAGAGACGTTTCCAGTGTGAATGCGAGATCCGAGTCATCTAGTTCCAATCAATAGATTTTTCTGGATGCATTCCGAAATCCTATTTACGTTTTAGAAACGATGCTGTAGAGAAAATGGATTCTTGGAACTGTTACGATAACGATGTCTCTTTTTTTGTGTTCCTGCATCTCCGATAACTTGCCGAGTATTTTTAAATCATTAGAAAGTAAAAATGCTTTTACTAAACATTATTACAATCACCGCTTATTTATTATAACAGCGACAACAATAACAATTCAACGCATAATAACATTATAATCGGGCAAGGCAAACCATTGGATACCCTGCCGCACTTCGCCTAATACAGTCACTCATTCGTTTTGGTAATCATATACCAATAACTACACATTATTTTCATGCAAAGGCATAGTTTTCATGAAAGGTCGCATATTGGAGTATGCGCAAAACAACCCATGGTGTGATCCAAATTTAGAAAATTTAATTTATTTGCTTAAAGTTTTGCTGTTTTTCAGTTTCACTTATGATAAACTAGAAAATAGATTTTCTCTCCAAAAAAGAGCTTACGATCTAAGAAATACGCCTACATAATCCAAATTCCCCCCTGTTAACATTTTTGCTTAACTGCTATTTTCAATAAAAAAATATTAAAAATTAAAATTTTTTCTGAAGGGATTACTAATTACCAAAAATTTTACGAGGACTGGAGGCCAAGAAATAGACTCATTTGGTGAAAATTTGGTCAACATAATTTTTACGCCAAATTACGGTCATGAACAAATTGTCATCGTGCAACATTAACAATTGGGCTTTTTAGGCATACAAAGGTTTACATTTCCTGAGAATCTTTGTATGCGATGGTAATAAAAAAGCAGCCCTACGTAGTCCAAATTCGGTAAGATTGGTTTCTACGTCAATTTACTATTATAAACCAATTTTCACTAAAATTATACTTTTTTACCATAGAAAGAGATTGCATTTTCGTAGAACCAGTTGCATGAGAGTGGGTTCAAAAAATTTCCTTAGCCGAATCAAATGTTTCTTATTAATTTAGTATGCCCTAATATTATTATACAGTGAACTTTGTCGGAAAATTTTAAAAATTACAATTTTTTTCCATATAACGTTTTTTTCAAATAAGGCGTTCTATATAAAGAGTTGGTGAAAAATTGGGCTGCCCGGATCCATTTGCAATAGCCTTCGTCCTTGAACCGAAATTCGTCAGTGAACCAAATTTGATCAAAATATCTCTATAATTTTGACGTGTGGGTTGAAAACAAAAATACATGGACCGATATCACACAGGTCAACAAAGACCGACAAAGAAATAAGCTCCGAGTCATTCTCTGAATCGATTAATGTAATAAAAGATGACTCTACCGTAAGCTCTTTTCAGTGTTACGTACTTTCACGCAAACTTAGTACACCCTATACCGCAAATGCTGTATGGTATAATGATCTATTGATAATTGAGAAAAAAAAAAAGTGCATAAAAACAAAAAGTTATCAATAACGTGAATACAAATGATATTAATGTCAACTAAATTATACATAGCATGTGCTTACACATTCATCGGTATTCTAACACTCTTCTAAAAATCACTTTATCTACGATCATTATATACGAAATACTTATGTACGCTATTTAGTACAACAACAACAACAACAACAACAATAACAACGACAAAAGAATGAAGCTATAAGCAACAAATAACCATAAAAACATATAAACACACAGAACGCGTGCATACAGCACTGTCGAGTTATCTCCGTATAAAACCTAAAGACATTTTAAAATATATTCTCATTTGAAAGTTAACGTTCGTTAAGCAGATAAACGGCCGTTGAAACGAAAAAAAAAAAAAAAACAACAAAACAAGCATTTTTTCACACAAACAATATTACGATATTTAAAGGATTATAGCAAAGCATTATTATAGCACCACAAAGTTAAAGTGAAACAACGATACAAAAATAAAAAAAATTATTTCAGGATAATAAAAACAAAATGATTTAAAATAAAAAAAAATGAACTAAAAAATTTTACAACAAATGCTAAATAATATTGATTTCGACGAAAATAAATTATAAATATTTAAAACTAAAATTAAATTTAATGTGCAATTTGTTCTACAAATAGTCAAGCAAGTGTTTGTTTTTTTTTTTTTTAATTCATTGCTTGCATTAAACAATAATGGTTAGGGTTATAAAAATTAAATTTGCAAACCAAATGCAATTAGCTTAAGAAGAAAAAAAATTTATATAAACATCTTTATAAAACTTTTCGTGTTATTCTGGATTAAATCATATCATATATATACACACACATATATAGATATAAATATATATATATATATGCGAAAATGACGCAACAACCTGCTTGGGGCATAAACCTTTCTAAATGTAAGTAAACTTTCTGCTTGAATTCATCCGTTTTGCTCTCTGCAAGTGAAATAAATTTATTTAAATGTTAAAAACTCGTCACAAAATCACAAAATCTAACGCTTTGTATTCTTGCATTCTTCACGTTCAACTAATTAACACCGCACACGACGTGTCTATCCAACCATTCGTGAAAAGCAATTTATAAGAAATTTTACTTTAAAATATTAATCACCAGAGACCCCTTGACATATTCCGCATAATCGGCAAAAGGATTTGATAGGTGTATAAATAAATTAGTTCTGTTTTTTAATAAAATTCAACTTTAATTAAAATAAACTTTTTACAAGGCTTAATAATCGAAATATGGACCATCTATGGTCTTTTGCCATTTATCGGGAAAGCGGCACTATTTTGCCGATATCGAACAATTTTCACACATCTTCAACTTCTTCAACCACTGACCTGCTGTATATGGATTCAGGGATCTGAATAAATGGTAATCGGAAGATATCAGGTCTAAAGAATACGCGGCAATGCGTTATAACTTCCCAGGCTAAGCTGATAATTATTTCCTGAGTTTAACGGACGGACGTTTGCGATTTGCATCGTTTTTAAGGCAACATTTTTTTACCACAAATCTGGCGAACTTCTCTCTAACGGGTTCAACATTGAGATCAGCGTCTTACTTCAAAGCGATCAAACACTATATCAAACATGAGTAACTAAAGAAAATTCATCACAATTTATGAGTAGGACACGTGATGTACATCGGCTTTTTCAATTGTCTGCGTAAACAAGGAAAAATGAAGAAAAATTCTCTAAGTAAACAGATCATATTGACTCTCAAATATATTTTCCAATTCAAATGGTGGACACAACTGTAGTGTGGGCCCATAAAGTATGTTTGGTGCTTGAATTAAACATTGGCATCAGTGCATTACTTCAAAGTGAATAGCAATCATATCAAACTTGATTTTTCTTTTGAACTTTTCGGCAACATTTATGTTCTCTAAGTAAACAGATCGTATTGACTGTGATAAATTTTTTTGAATACAATTGTGTTCAAGTGCATAAATATGGTATGGACCCATCATTGAACTTAAAGTACTGATTTATTCTATCTACATATGCCAAGTGGTAAATTTTTATCGACATTTTTTTTAATTTGAACCCTATATGAAAAGTCTATTCGAATCCCCATGTTATTTATACTCTTTGTAATTTAAATGCTGCAAACGGGATGAAAAATTCAGAACGCTTTGATGTTTCTTTCGTTCGCGTATATAAAACACGAAACAATGAACAAATATAAGCAATTTGAACAGGTGATACGTAAAATATTTACAAACACGAGCCAGTTGTATTAATGTAGACACCGTAACACAAGAGATAAGCCGGCGAGTGAGAAAAAAACAAAGACCCGCTTTCCTCAACTTTGTTAAGAAGGTGAAAAAAAAAAAATTCCAATGATATTGAATTTTTGGATTAAATGCAATTTTGTAAATAAGATTCCTATTCTCATCTATGCAGTGAAACGTGACATAGCAGTATTATCTATCTTATCCTTTGAATGAACATTAATAGATTACAAATGTAGACACGGTACAAAAAAATTTTGCTAAGAAGTCGTGAATTAATACCATTTCTGGTTTTAGTTAAGTTGGCTTAAAATTTTAAAGATTTTTAAAACATTAAAATTTCAAGGTTGAAGATTAAAAATCAAGCACTGAGTTGGCTTTTACTTTCAAAGGCAATATCAATTCGCATTTTCTGGGTCATAAGATTGTAAGATTGAGAAGACTGAGAAGATTAATTGCGTTATTATTAAATAAAAAAGTAATGTATGTGAAGATTGCATTATATATACACAAATAGGTTTTTGCAAAAAACCCGCATATGATAAAACGAGTCTGCATGAAAATTAATCGATTTTCTAAAAAACCAATTCTCAATGTGGTAAAAACCAAATAGAGAATCATGATGCGTTATCTGACGACGCAGCCGGCGATCGGCGAAAAGGTAAAAAACAATTCGGAGAACATTTCAAAGGTACAAAACGATTACCATGGAAATGTCGCAATGAAATCTGGTATTGGGGAGTTGCTTACAACAGGATATATAAGCAGAATGCAAAGCCAGCCGAGTCAAGTGGGTTCGTTATATACGAACGTATACGAAAACAATGTGTTTAAGTTCTTATGAATAATGTATAAACAGACTTTCCCAAGAATAGTAAATAACACCTAGGTTAACCTAGAAATCACAATGTAATAAGTAAGTACTGGCAAAAGGAGTCGGATAAAAACGTAAAATCCCAAGTGCCAGTTTACGTTAGAATACGTTAACTGGCGAGATTATCATTTCCAGCAAATTAAACGAAGTTGTTAAGTCCTTCGAAGAATGTTTAGGAAAATGGCCGAATAAATTTTTTACGTAGACAGTGTTCGTAGAAGTGGTCCAACCTAATCCATTTTCATTAGCCTTCACCCTTGAGCCCAAACGCATATATGTGTAAAATATTAAGTTAAAAAAAACTACTTTAGGCTGAACCCGCAATTAAATGGACAAACGGACGATAGATATGTTTAAGCTTTTTCAGAAAATTATTTTGATCGACATAATAAGAGGTTGACACGTTTCAATTTCTCTTGCATACATACAAATATGCAGACTAACTTAATGTTTCCTTACCGCAAGCGATGTAGGTTATGAAAAGAAATTCCTGATAGTCGTCAAGCGAAAACGTACTTTTCCCATATACTTCTCACAATAAACTGATAGTGAAGGGTTTTAACCGATACTAATTGACGTCATCAAAATTTCCTTTAGTGATAAATGATAAGCAGGCATATTTAACAGACAGTACTTATCATAATATTTTAAGTAATAAGTAAAATAGTTTTAAAGTGGCGGGATTGAAAGGGTTGAGGGCATCGAATAAAGTGGTGCTTGTCATCATCAGACAAAATAAATTCATTACGTTTTCAAAAACAATCAATGCATCCGCATTTGGTCCATTCACTGGTACACTCACATCAAAGCAAATATCTGTGCTAATAAATATATGACCGGCTATTTAAAAATGAGACACCTAACCTTTTATACGGCATTTCTATTTACCAAACCTATCGTCTTATGTGATCTAATCCCATAACATAACCTATCTAAAGTATAACTTACATATAATACTGAGATCGGTCACGTTTATCTTTCGAAAAAAAAACAAAACAAAAAAAAAACACTTAAATGTTCGCACTTAACTTAGCTGAAGAGTAATATACGGGAAAAAATTAATACCAACATTGTATAATACTTACACCTCTGGTAATTGTAGTTATATGCGGACTGATAACGTTTCTTTTTTTGCACTTATTAATCTCCCCTTTATTAGGTTAAAAAAAATTCTAGATTGGCTAGAGTGCTAGATAATCGGACATTATTGAACTAAGCCTGTTGTTCCTGCAAAATATGGTTTTCCATTAGCGATTTCCATTATCTCGCGAGAAATTTAAAGAGAAATCCTAATCGCCCTTAAAAGAATTTCTTTTGCATTCGCTATAAGCCTTTTAACTCAGATAGTGAAACTTTCTCCAAATTCTAACTAAAATATTATGTCACATATATCATTGTCTATTTTTCGCTATTTGTTTGCGAAGTTAAGAGCAAAGATCGTGCAGTAATAAAACAAAACTAATCTATGAAAGTGAATTTGAATTTAATTACTAGACATTTAATCGTCAACATTTTTATACCCTACACTGTTTATGCTACAAAGATGTATTAAGTTTATGCGGATGTATCAAGGATTTGAGGTAGACCTCTCCTTTATTATATTCAGCGAATCGGAATCACTTTATAAATCAATGCAAACTGGCCTGTCCGTCTATGCGTCTACACGTCTGCCTGTTTACTCTTTTTTAATTTTTATCGAGATATTTTTATGAAGTTACGTAAGCCGACGTGTTTTGGCCCAAGGACGAATGGTTCGGAGCGGGTCACTTTTACAACCACTTATTGTAAAAAGTCGTATAACGGCTCACTTTTTATAAGTAGTTCTGAAGAAGACATTCAAATGTTTTTTTGCTTATTTGAAAGGCATTCATATGGATTCGGCGGATACAGATGACAACAGGTGAGGTTTTTCAGGGATTTTTATGACATTTTTTTAGCTCATTTTGCGATGGCATTCCTTACAATTTCTTATGGCGTTAAAGTTAACTAATTTGGATGAGCTACTTTTTCAAATTGAAAAATAACTTGACACTTGAATTTCTTTGCTTAATTCAATGCTTTTGAGAGAAAATATGTTTAATATACCAACAAGACAAATTTGCCACGCTTTTAATGGACATTAAACACTTGAGATCAATCTTCTCACGTTAGTAAAAGTTTTTCAGCCACCATCCATAAGCAAAGCCATATCAACAAAGCGACAGAGCGATAAAGGTATGCAACTCGAATCTGCTTTTTCCCTCCAATCAAGAAGAATCTATCTTCCTATCTATAAACGCCAAAGCGTTGAACAAATTTAACATGGTTTATGTGTTATAAAGTAAGATAAAGAAAATTTAAACTCAATTTAGAACAAGTTAAAACATATTTAGTAGGCTACGGCCTATCATTAAGTTATTCATAGAAAGAAAAAGACTTTTCAATGTAAGGCCTTGGACGAAAAAGTGAGTCGATCCGAATTATGTTCAATAGCGTTCTTCTTCGAGCCAAGATTAAACAAAAACTGGACAGACAGACAGACAAACTTAAATCGATACAATCGATTGGTGAAATAAAAGGCATCTCAAGTTCGCTAGAGTACTACACACTGCTGCCTAAACTTAATATACCCTTGCACCAGAAGTGATAGTGAAGTATAAAGGTATATTTTCCCGTTGCTTATCATTTAAAAGTCTTAATTAATTTATAAGGAAATTATGGCGTGTTCTCTCGTATGTTTAGAATTTTATCAGTTAATATTTTCAGGCAATCAACTGGTACAATAATCTATTTCTCCGCTTACAAAG